TGCCTCCTACATGCCCCCTACAGAGCCCACAGCAAGAGCATGTGCCCTGATAGGGAACTGGTGACCTCTTGGTTCATGGTTGACGCTCAACCACTGAGCCACACTGGCCTGGTACATTTATGGAATTCTTGCTTCACATGTTTTGATTCATGCTATCCTCACAACAACCTTATGTGGTAGTGCTATTATTATCCCATTCTACAGATGAGGAAACTAAACTTTAAGCAAGGTAACAAAGACCTAGTATTTCATTTCTAAATATTCTTTCTACTAAAAGATATATTATGAAAGAATAGGGCTGTCCTTGATCTCAACCTCTGTAGTGAGGTCCTCAAAGATTCTAAATTCCTCTACTGCTCCATTACAGAACACATTTCAGATTCACAAACTTACCTGTACCCTTTCTCCATTTCCAGTTGTAGATAGTCTTTTTGAAGAACACATTTCCTATGTTTCCTAGCAGCTGTTGAAATTTAGATGTGCCTGTGTTTACTCAAAAGTTTTATGTCCAGTATAAGACATGTCACTCCCTTCACTGATCCATATTTGGTGAAGACCCTGTTCATCTTACCCATTTCATTTGGGGTCTCTCTCTTCTCAACTATCATCTTTCCAGCCTGAAGAGAAATCTTTTTTAAACTTCTCCTCTTGCTGCAATAGACTGTCTATTCTTAGCATCCTGAATATTTCAATGACTTTTCCAGGAATCTTCTTTGGCTATATGTACTTCTTGAGTTGCATCAAGCAGCCCAACAGTAGCTGGAGAAGCTGGACCATGAGTTTGAACAGGACCAAGGTGTTTTCCATCTTGCTTTTTCAATTTTCCTGCTCAGTATTTTGTGGAATTTTTTCATGACAACAAATACTTTATTCCTCCATCCCCAAATTATGACCATTTTGGACTCCATTTTCCCTTCACTACAAAGAGGCAGCAGCAAGCAGGCTGCTAGGCTGTGCCATGACCAACTGAAACAACTTATTTTATGAAGGCAAGAGCCCAATGACAGCCTCTATAAAATAACCACCAGGTACTTTGATCTCCTTCTGACAACTCTGACCAAGAGACTGCACATACAGAATTAAATGGAAGGGAAATCATAACTAAATGTAGCAGCTATGAATAAACTCAGCTCCTACCTGTATAACGCATGGGGAATTGTAGCCATCTCTTGCCCTTCTCTCTGTTCCAAATAAAGCAAAAGAAAAGTGCATACTCGCTGAAATCTTTAAACAAACATCACAACTGAGTACAGGGATTATTGTAAACTACAGCAATCATAATCATACTTTATATTTATGTAACTCATTGCAGTCTTCAAATCACCCTCAAAACATCAATGCATTTATAGTCCTCAAACTAACTCTGTAGGGTGGGCATTCCAGAGATTGTCAGCACATTTTCTACATAAGGAAGCTAAGTCTTAGAGAAGTTAAATTATTTGCCCAGTATCACATAGCTGAGAAGTCAAAGAACTAGGAGTAGAATCTAAACTTAACATAGTGATAACAATAGTAAACACTACCAAGCATTTACTGTGCTTTATGTCATGTGCTAAGCACTTTACATAAATTATCCCATTCCATCTTTCCAACAGCCTTGTGAGGGATTATAATATTGTTATCCTCATTGCACAGATTAGGAAAGTGAGGCATAGAGAGATTAATTATGCTGCCCAAGGTCTCACAATCAGGAAGTGGAAAAGCAGGGATTCTAACCCAGGGAACTCATTATTAGCAATAGGCTTTTACACCTATTTTTTGAGAGGAAGTTTAGTCATGTCATGTTAACTATCATGTATTAAATTAAAAATTCTGAATCAGCTATTTATAGAAAGTATTTTAAATAATGGCAGATAACTTAGAATGCACTGATTGCATTTTGTATAGTTAAAATATTTATCTCATTTAAATACTTTAAAATCTGTGTTTACTAATCCTTTCAGAGTCTAACATTGTAAAGCTTTGAGGCACTGGAATAAGTACTGAGAATTGGGTCAAGGATGATGGGAGATAGTTTTGTTACACTCTGACTTCAAATCTATACAAATAGAGGATGAATGTATTTCTGAATGCCAGCCTTGCAAACAACTGTGTCACTCCTGGAAGAACCAGACTTTTTACAAGAAGTCCACAATCAAGAAATTCCATTTACCATGTACAATCCCAAAGTCATTCCATACTCCCATAGCCCACAAAATGGGCCTTGAAAGAACTGCCACATACATAGTTCAAAAAGCAGAGGATGGTTTCCTTACTGGGTTCTTGTGCAATTCCAAAGAACATAATGTATTTTGACCCACAAGGATTACATTTGAGCCTTGCCTAATCCTATATAATAAAAGCTTAATATGCAAATTGACCAAACAGCCGAACAGCGGAATGACCATCCAGATGATCATCCAGATGACCATCCGGACCACACTATGACACCCACTGGCACCAAGCCAGCCAAGGCAGGTGCAATGCAATTGATTGAGGGCCCAACCATTGCCCCATCATCGCCACGCAGAGGGAGGCCCAGGTCACCAATCAGTGGGCTGTCGTGGGTGTGCGGGTCCCCCTCTGCAAAGAAAGCCCAGGTCAGTGCTGGTGGCTGGAGGGAAGTTTGGGTCCCAGAGGGAAGCTGGTGCCTGCAGCTGGGGGAAGAAAGGCCTACTCCTGCACAAATTTTGTTTATTGGGCTTCTAGTAATATATACTTGGGTAGAAGAGCTATTTACTTACAACTAATCAGGTATAAAATAGGTTACAAGTACATTGTTTTGAAAAATTACTTACCAAAGTTTGGTCCATGGTTTTTTCTTCCTTAGAAGTGTCTCTGTATCAAAAGCATCAAAAATTATAGAAAAATTAAATAGAGTACCAAATACATAAGAGCACAGTTTCAGGAGAAAGACAACTGAGTCAAAACAGTAGAATCTCCCAGCTTGGAATTAAAATAATTATAAGGCTCCAAGAAGATACTTCAAAAGAGTTTGGTCATTATTTGTATACCAAAATGGTAGTAAGCCTTTAACACAGCAAACCCACTTTCAAGAATCTACTCCATAATAGTACCAGCAAGGAACCATACAAATATATGTACAAGAGTGAAAATAACTGAAATGTCCATTACTAAGCAATTGGGTAAATACACCATGGCACACTCATGCAAAAGAATCCTGTGCAGGCATAAAAATGAATAAGCTAAATCTCCATGTATTGGCCTCAAAGGATGTACATGATGCATTCTAAAGCATGAAAAGAATGTTGGAAAACAGTATGTAGAGTAGGATCCTATTCTCTTAGTAAATGCAAGGCAACAAATCTAAAGGAGTATGTAAGAAAATTGTTAACCAGAGTTCTTGGAATGGGTGTGTTTCTGGAGATTTTTGCTATCCAAGTTAATATTTCTGTTAAGCTCTAAGATTTTACAATGGCCATATATTACTTTTGTAATAAGTAAACATAATTGACATAATTCTTTAAAAAGAATGTTGTATATTCCACAATTTTCTTTTAATAACCTACCATGGATTTACTTTTATTACCTTATATAAACCTTCTTGAGCCTATTTATATTTGAACATGGAATAGAAACCAAAATCCCATTGTGTGGGAGATAGGCAGGCACGTGTATTGTTTTAAAAATCAGCTTACATGAGGGGATAGGGGGTAACATGGGGATAAGGACACATGTAATAATTTAATCAATAATAAAAATAAAAATAAATAAAAAATAAAAATCAGCTTACAGTGGTATACCAGAGCCATGCCTATTTTTCAAAAGGATTCTCTGAATGTTCCTTTAACAGAGGACCAATATATGTGCAATGCAAGAGCAGAGGAAGTATTTATCAGATGACCAATTGCTTTGGTCATCATCTTGATACTACTCAGTGCCTTCCAATATTACTGCAATCAGCTCTCCAACTTTGTGGCCCAGGAAAGTCTTGAACTAGTCAGCATTCCTCACTCTAAATATTTCAAGTTCCCTTTGGAATTTTTAATTCCTGGAAGTGCATTGTCCAAAAATAAAAGGCCTTATAAATCTTTATGCATTGGTCATTCGGAGTCTTTCATCTTTTAAGGCATTTTCCCCCTAAGTCACAGAATCATAGTATTTTAAAGCGAAAGGGGGCATTAGAGGTAACTGAGTCCAATTCCACTGTTTCCCCTACTTATTTTATTCTATTTTGTTTTGCCACTGAATTTATACCCTATAGTATTTTTTTAAATATATTTTTATTGATTTCTACAGAGAGGAAGGGAGAGGGATAGATAGTTAGAAACACATCAATCAGCTGCCTCCTGCACATCCCCCCCTGGGGATATGTCCGCAACCCAGGCACATGCCCTTGACCGGAATCGAACCCGGGACCTTTCAAAAACCCAGGCATATACCCTTGACTGGAATCAAACCCGGGACTCTTCAGTCCTCAGGCCAACACTCTATCCACTGAGCCAAACCGACTAGGGCTATACTCTGTAGTATTAATACAAATTTCTTTCTCAGTCCAAAAAGAACCTACACTCAGAAGGGAAGATTCAACTCAAAATGCAGCAGTCCCTGCAACTCAGACAAAAACAACAGAAATCTTCTCTGGATAATAACAGATCCAGAGTGCCCTCAAACAACCCTTCAACACACAGTAGATGACATTCACATACCTGCTTTTAATTTGAATAGCCAGATTAGCAAGAGCAAATTCACTGTCCTGAAATATAGAATTCAACTGTAAAAGACAAAACACATCAGTTTTAGTATTTCTACTCCTTTGTCTTAACTGAGCAAAGTTACCTGAGATGATGTGATCATTAAGCTCCATTCACTATTTCAGCTGGTTCAACATTTCCGTCTGCTCCACTTGGTTTTTACCTACTGTTATGAGCTTAATTGTATCCCCAAAATTTCATATGTTGAAGCCCTAACCTCCTAATGTCACTATATTTGGAGATTGAGCCTTTAAGGGGGTAATTAAGGCTAAATGAAGTCATAAGGGTAGAACCCTAATCCCATAGGACTGATGTCACTATAAGGAGGGGAAGAGACACCAGACATCTCTCTCTCTCTCTCTCTCTCTCTCTCTCTCTCTCTCTCTCTCTCTCCACACACACAAAAAGTCCTGTGAAGGCACAAAATGAAGATAGCCATCTACAAGCCAGGAGAGAGACCATACCAGAAACCAACTCTGTTGGCACTTTGATCTTGGATTTCCAGTCTATAGAACAGTGAGAAAATAAATATCTGTTGTTCAAGCCACCCAGTGTATCATATTGTTATGGCAACCCTAGTAGATGAATATAACCAATCATGTCAAGCACTTATAATCATGTCATATATGGTACACTTGAAAATAAATTCCTGATGGGGAGAGAGGGGAAACAGACATGACCATTTACTGTTGGTGGGGATGCAGGTTTGTATCACCTATCTGGGAGCTCATTTAGCAATAGCTATTAAAATGTGTAATATTCATCAATTGATTCAACAATTCCAGTTCTAGGAATTTATCCTATAAAAATACTCAAGTGCTTCCCCAAAATTTATTGCAAGGGTATTATTGTTAGAATTATTTTCAAATAGAGAAAAAATAGAAACACATGAATGTCCACCAATGGATGCCTGAATTAAAAACTACTTTACAATTATCCAGTGAAATTCTATGCATCTGTTAAAGTGTATGAGGTAGATCTATGTTTATAATCATGAGTATGCTCAAAGATAGATGGTTAAGTGAAAAAGGAAGTTAGCATAATTAGTATGATTTCAGTTATTTTTACAAAAGAATATACATGCATCAATGTTATTGTATGTATAGAAAAAGTCTGAAAAAATATACCTCAAACTATTAATAGTACTTAATACAAAGAGCAATATTAGAGAGCATGTATACTTTCTGAATTTCACATTTCAAATTCTGGATTTCTTCAGAGAGTATGTAGTATTCCTATGATCAGAAACAATGTAAGGATAAGTAAAACATTTATTGTGTAAGAGAGAGAGAAATTAAAATGCAGAAAACAAGAATATTTAAATTAAATAGCATAGACTTTGTTATCACTACTCTCCTACTTTCCCCAAATAGGAAAATTTGAAAAGGCACAGAATTTGTGTCAGTGGAAAAAAAGTGTACACTTCTAAAGAAATTAAAATATTAACATCCCATAAAAGCTTCCAGCATTGGCACTATGAAAGAAAAAACACATATATCTTCATGGTGTTGATTACAGAGTGGATAGATTTTCAGCAAAAAGTCAAAACCAATTAGCTGTGAAATGTACTATGTGTAGAAAAAGTAAAACTTAGTGTTAATATACTCAATCTTTGTCATATATATACACACATATACATATACATACACATGTATATGCAAATATATTCAAATATTTTATATGTACTATAAATATTCAAAAGATTATTTTACCCAATTTTCTGCTAATTCATTTACAACACTGGTAATAGGGATCGCTGGCTCTTCATCAAAGACAGAGAAGCTCATTCCAACATTATAAAAGGAAACTGTAATTAAAAATAAGGAGATTAATTTTATGTATTGAATTCAAGAAATTTAACGTCTGTTAATTTGATGAAAATTGTTCTTTATTTTAAAGAAACTAAACAGTGAAATCTCATTCTTAAACTTTGCTTAATTTAATTTCAAGGTCAAGAACAAGCACTTTTGGCTTCATATTCACAAGTAAAACAGGAACAAACAAAACAGAAACAGACTCATAGATACAGAGAACAGACTGATGGTTGCCAGAGGGAAGAAGGAATGGGGAACTGGGTGAAAAAAGTTAAGGGATTGAGAAGTATAGGGTGGTAGTTATAAAATACCCATGGGGATGTAAAGTATAGCATAGGGAATATAGTCAATAACATTAGAATAATTATGTGGGTACTGGAAATATCAGGGGAATAGTTTTTGAAGTATGTGACTGTCTAACCACTATGCTACATACCCCAAACTAATACAAAACAATATTGACTGTAAACTGTAATTGAAAAAAATAGTAATTTAAAAAATAAAAACAGAACATACCATCGCATTTTTGCTTTAATTATTTAGGCAG